TATTGTCAGGATCTGATGTATATGTTTCATGATCTGGGTGTATTGTCGTGATCGGGACTGATCCTCCAAGATCCAGCCATAAGACACAAGTACTACACTGTAGATCAGACAAGATCCTGCGCTAAGGACAGCTGGACGACGAAAATAAAGAAGAAAGAACAGGTACATAGCTGGAGATAATAAGCCAAATAGCTGTGGGGGTAGAGATAGTTGATGTATAGGACCTAACAATAAATCAGACTCGAATTTGCATTGTGCTACACAAGTGCCTTCATGCTTTCAAGATCCAGAACGACATTAGCCGCAACGAGCTCAGCGAAGGTTGGGAATAGCAGATCTAGTGTTGATTGCGATACCTGATAGCATTTTGGCCACATCATACCATCTAGTGAAGTTTCCCTTACAAGTGCAAATCAAGGAGGTTAGCCAGATTACGGCTTGGACGAGAATACCTATCGACTCTCAACTATCGAGATCCCCCTATAGGAAGCGGCATGCACGGCAAGAAGGAAACCCAAGGTGACACACTCTCAAGCACGACGACAAGGAACTTAAGAAATACACCCTCAAGGCAACCCTCGGTCAAGATCCCAGATCGAGACCTCCAGATCCTCCAAGATCGAAGTACTCGCTTTTGATCTAGACCCTACATCGGGCGTAGGGTTACGATCTTCCACTACTACTCCACCCAATCCACACATCTCGCCAAGACATTCAAGCTTCACCCACTTAAGTTTCTCTGCGGTTACCAGAGGAGCAAGACCCTGCTTTATCGACGGGTACACAATGTGAACAAGTTCAGCCGATCGTGGATCATCGGGGGATAGTCGGTGTCTGGGAACTGTTTGGAATTCGGATCCAGCAACTCGTAGATTTCTGGTCCAGCTTCACCACAGACACATTGAACATGTCACTAAGAGGGAAGTTGTGCGTTTTACACTATGAACTGCGTGTCCTATATAATTAGATTGGTGTCTTTGTTGATTATATTACAAGAATCCGCGTAAAGCGCGACGTCATTCAGCACACTTCTAAGCTTTTCACGCAGAACGTCGCTTGTTATATCTCTTGCCGCAACATCATTCTTCTCTAGTATACGCTCCATTCTCTTCTCCAGCTTGCTCGGCAGATCCGTCTGTGCGAACTATTATTTGTTATGCTTCTTATATAGCTCAATGTACGGTAGAATATCGGATGGCTGCATTTATGACGACTCGCCAACTACCAGCTGCGCGTGTAGCTTTGGTAAATTTTGCTGGGTTTGCAAATATGCATGCTGAAAGTAACGGATGGTTTGTTGGAAGGTGCTGGAATTGAGACTCAGCATATAAACAATTAAAACTAGACATAATACGAGAATTTCAGCCATACAAGATATGTCACAGAAAACAGGAAACACAGTCTTCCAAACGGCTTTTGTGTTGCCATGCCGTGCCTGTAAAAT